AAAATGTTCTTTTGGCTAATGGTTCTTTTAGAAATTTCACTTTAATTTTTGTTTTGACTTTTTTTTTTACCAAATTTAACTTTTGATATCTTGTTGTAATAATTCGTTAATGCATATACAGGTTTACTGGCTGTAGTAAGAAAAGTTACTTCCATCAAATATCTTCTCATCCAGTGCGGTAATTCTAACACAGAGTCTTCGCCGAGTTTTTCCCAATAATACTCCATTCGCTGGAATCCATTTTGTGTGTAAATTAATGCTTGCCTCATAAAAAGTGGAGATGCGATGGTTTTTGCGTAAAATCTTCGAAGACGTGCCCAACTATCGTAGTTTAAGTTAGTCGCCAGACCCACGTTAAGAAATCCAATCTCGCTAATATCGCAATCTTCACCAATAAGGTTATGAAAGTTTCGGTCAAATGGATCTATTAATTTTCGTGCCAATTCCTCGTTGCATAGCCAGACTTGACGCTTTGAGCCAGCATAAACTTCAAAAATGTCACCATATTTAGACTGTAGCTCTGACGGCCAGACCGTGACTTCACGAACTATTGTGAAAATATTTCCGATAAGTGGAAGTGGAGTAGGACCTGGTAAGGGATTCTTACGTGCAAAATACTTATAATAATATATTGTAACATATGTTATCAATATGAACGTTAAAAGAGAAATGCTGATATAGTCGTTTAAGATCATTTTGATGCAAATGAAGAAAAACCAGCCTTATCGCCTGTGATTATTGCGTACCGTTATACGTATTGTCGTAACACATTACGGCAAAAGGTACATGTTTACAACCACTTACGATATATACTGTAACTCTGTACTTGAAATACGTACCATTAAAATAAGCATTATCTTATGTAACAATATTATAAAACCATATAACATACTAAAGGCTTTGGTTCTATCTTGTTATGTAAATATAACTCTTTCCGCTGATCCTTTGATCACACACAAAAAAGACGTTCGCAAGAAGTTTTATACTTCTTTGTTAATAAAGTCTTTACACTTTCATTAAAACAACCTGAAGCCTGTCTTCATATATCTCTCCTACCCTTCCTTACTTATTTATAAACTCCTTTGAATAAAAACTTGAGCTTTTAGTGACCTAAAAAGACTCAAGTACGCACTTCCTCTACTAAGGGCAAGAAGTTTCTAGGAAGTAAAAGGACTGACAAGTGGAGTATCACCTCATAGAGTTAGAAGTGACAAACAATAGAGGTTCTTTTGACAGGGGAAGGCTTATTATCCACCTTCTCATTTTGTCTTATACCCTCTTAAAGTGTTTCTATTTTTTTCACGGTTTTCTTGAATGATTTTGCCTACCTCAGTTTGACCCTGAATTTTTTGTAGCACAATGTCACCTGGCATCTGATTGGTTGACACGAAACACATTAGTAACAGAATGTAAACAAGCTCCTATTGGTCACCTCACATGTCTTAAATGCATTTCCTTAACCTCATAAGAACCTGGGATCTACCATAAGTCATTTGCTTTGGTGCAGGTGAATACAAGAAACACTATTACTCAAGTCATTAACTGTCTCCAGAAAGAGTCCATTCAACCATGGTAAAGGTTACAAGATGTTGCATCCAGTTTTTGGAGATGCAATCACCTACCTCTGGTCACCAAATAGGTTCTCCTAGTTCCATCAAATAGATAAATATTCGAAAATAGGGTACTGGTTTCTCTATCAATTCCTTGACTCGACTTTTAAGGACACAGAGAATGGAGTGTATTAATAGTGACCTTTACTGCACCGGCATATGACAAGGATCAATGAAAATGGTCTGTGGATTGGCCTACCAGTATCAATATATATACATCTACCTCCAACCTCTTCCTATTTCTAAATAAGATTGAATCTACTTTCCCTTCTCCTATATTTTCCTGAGAAAGTGATTCTATAGTTATCCTAAAGACTTCCCCTTCCTACTGAGTATTAGTATCTTACTCCCATATATAATCCACACTAATGTTTTGGAAGCTTCCGCAAGGGAGCACAAGTTGGCTACCAAAGGCAATGGTTGAGATTCCTGCATTTTTCAAGAATCTAGGTAAAGGCATCTGAAACACAACTGATATTGCACAAAAATTATTGGAGGATCTGAAATATGATCAAACCATGCACTGGTGTTTCCACTATCATATATGAATAGGTATTTGGTACTACCTAAGGGGTTTTAATAAATATTCTAAATAAAATTTTTTTCCCCCTGAAAAAGTCACATGGCAAGAAATTGTATATAGTATATAGATTAACTATTATATCCTCTCATTTATTTTCTGACCTTTTATCTTCCTTTCTATAAAAATTTTTTTCAACACTAGTAGTCCTTTGCTAGTTCTCACTTTAGAGACAGCAGCATGCCTGAGGTTGACCAGTATATAGTCATATCACAGCTTTATAGATTTATAACTATATTTTTATATCAACATTTAAAAATTATATCTAATAAAGTAAAGGTTAAGCTGGCTTTAAAAAAAAACTAAAGACTTTGGTCATCATAAATTAGGTTATTATAATATAAATAATAAGGGATAGAATTGACGCACGTTATTAGTAAAAATCCTTAGATGCTATAAACTTTAAACTGTTATTGTAAATATATTATGTAGCAGGTTGAGGATTTATAGATTGAAATAAATTTCTTCAATAATATTTAAGGAATTACTATAATTAAGCTTTTAAGAAATATTATATATATTTTTTTATATACTATACAATGCATATACTTATATCTAATTAATATTTTGTTTATTTTCCTTTTACTTTACTACCATATCAATCCTTTGTGAAAATGAATTCATAAGCTCTTATAGAATCACAGTATCAAATTTTTATCACTATTCTTTAATATCAGTCTATAGCACATTTTCATTAGAATAATTTTGTCTATATACAAAACCTAGGTAGTCAATAAGACAAACTTAAAGTATATGTTACAGAACAATATAAAAATATAAAATCTGATATAATTATTAATATAAATATATATGTTATAAATATATTATATAAAAATATTTTAGTAAATAAAATAGTTTACTATATATCGATTAGCTTTTTATGTTGATAAATTTTTTTCTAAAAATTTTTTTCTTTTAAAAATTTTAAAGTTTTATTGTTAGAAATCATAATTATAATAAAAATTTCTATATATATTACTTTTTTCTATAATAATATTTTAATTACTAGAAAATAGGAATTGCAAAACCTTGAATCAAATCAGCTTTGCCTATAAACCAATTTAGTTTGTTAAGTGAATCAAAAAATTTGAATTGAAAAATCAAAAATCAATTCAATAACTAAATCAAATTTTAAACTTTATTCAATAAATGTATTGAAAATTCAAACTTAATTTGATAAATAAATTAAAAATTTAAACAATTTAACTAAAATTGGTGCAATAATAAAAATTAATTTAATAGTTAACATAATTTTAAAAATATATTTTATTGTATATAAAAATATTTAAGTTTATTAAAAAATTATAATATAAAATTAATTATTTTATTTATTTACTATAATTTTTTTATTGCAGTACAATTTTTTTTTTTTTTGTTTTATATTTTAATAAATTTTTTTGTATAGAAAAAAAAATTCAAGAATATATAAAACAATTGTTTATTAAAGAAATAAAACAATCTTATTATAATATAAATTTCTTAATAAATAATTTTAGCATATTTGAAATATATTAAATATATATTATTTATTAAAAACCTAGAACTAGCTAATTATAGTTTCTTTTTTTTTAAAGCTAATAAAGTAATATAGATATTGAACAAATATTGTTTAATAAAATTCTATATTTAAAAATTAGATTCAACATTGTTAATTTTAGGCAAATATAAGATTGAATAACAATTAAATTACTTATAACTTTTTAATTTACAATAAATTATTTTTTATATTCAAAGTAAAATACAACTTTTTTAAATTATAACAGTAATTTAAATTTGTTTATCTAGTATTTATATTATTTAAAAACTATTATAAATTTTATAATAAAAAAAAACTCTTTTCCACAGATCCTTTTTTTCTAAAAATTTTTCTTTTTTGATGATTTTGAAAAAAAAATAGAAAGTGAATGAAAGAGATAAGTTCTAATCAAGAATCCAGAAAACAATATACCTTAAAGCAACCCAATTATTACAAAAACCTTTTAGCAAAGAGTAACACAAAAAACATATATGCAGAAACAAATACAGACAATATAAAGAAAATACAAAAAATAAAGTAAAAGCAACTATAAGAAAAGAAAATAAATCCATAAAACAACCAATAACCTACAATAAAGTACAACAAAGCACCTCTTAAGATTTCAATAATAACAAACAAATAAAAACTATATCTAATAATACTTCTTGGAATGAATGAGTAGAAAAAGATCTTTTAACTAACATACTCAAAACAACAAACCCTATTACATCAAAGAAGTATAGAAAACAATTCCAGCAACTAATATATAGCTCCCAACTATAAAGAATACCTTGAAGAAGCAAACACAGAAATGGAGATTAAAGATGAATAAAAAAAAAACTTATTCTAAAACACACTTTCATAGTAAGAGAAATGGCAAACTACACCAAAACACAGAATAAAACCAATTAGTATAGTAGATCCTATCTTAAATCTCCACTTGATAGGAAAGTCAAATTTGGTAAAAAAAAAAGTCAAAACAAAAATTAAAGTGAAATTTCTAAAAGAACCATTAGCCAAAAGAACATTTT